CTGAAACCCACTACTCTAGAATTGTATAAGTGATAGAGCCAGATCCTAGAGCTGCAGGGCTTTGAGGGTGATAGAGCCAGATCCCGGAGCTGCAGGGCTTTGTGGGTGACAGAAGCAAAGCCCACTACTCTAGAATTTTATATGTGATAGAGCCAGATCCTGGAGCCATGGAGCTTTGTGGATGACAGAAGCAGAATTCACTACTCAAAGTTTTTATTAGGAATACAGCCAGAGTTGATGGTGCAGAACTTGTGGGTGATAGAGCCAGAGCCTGGAGCTGTGGGGCTCTGTGGATGCAACATGATAGAGCTACAGTGTTGAATCATAGAGCCCAGCCCTGAAAAAGGGCCAGTGGGCTGGGAAATGGCAGGAAATCTTGCTGACCCCAAGAGGACGGCAACAGCTTCACCTCTATAGAACTCTCAAATTGGTCAAGTGCTTTCCAGACGTTAGTGTGGGGGCTGGGTCCCCATTTTTCAGACAAGTCTGAGGAGGGTGAAATCACTCATCCAGGGCCTCACAGTGAGTGAGTGTCTGAGGCTGCAGCTTTCCTGATTCCAAGGGAAATATTCTCTCTGCTACCATGGGGGCTCAGGGAGAAGGCGGGCCCTCCGGCATGGGCATCAGTGAGCAGAGAAGCCAGTCAGAGGCGTGTCATATCCCAAATTCCTTCCTTCAAAGCCCCTGCCCCGTGGGACTCTAGCCTGAATGCCTGCCTTGGAGGGCCCCACGGGCCCGTGAGGTACATAGTTCGTCTCTGTGGCCTTCTGGTGCCTTGATGGGCCTTGGACCTATCCCCCCACCCAGAATCTCCTCCAGCCTTAGACAAACACTAAACACAGCACATTACCTCCGAGGGACCCTGCCCGTCATGCGCCCATTAGCACAGCGGCCTGGATCAGTGCCAAATTCGAAGAGTCATCCATCCCACGGTTTGACGCCGTGGCATTCACACCAGGTGGCTAGGGCAGGGATTCCTATCCCCCTTTTACAGCTGGGGAAGATGAGGCTCAGACTGGGGTAGGGATGTCACCAGGGCTGCATGCCTAGCGGCAGAGACAGGACTGACTGCAGGGCTCTCTCTGCCAAAGCCGCACCACCCGGGCTGCCAGCTGCCGGTGACCACCCCCCCCAGCAGAGGATGTCCCAGGTGTCCGGACCACCCCATCTCCCTCCCCCACCCCCGCGGAGGCCAGAGGGCGAGGATGAATTCGCACTCTCTGCTCTTCTCGATCTCCCATTAGGCCATTAGCTTACAAACCTTCCTACAGCAGCAGCAGGCTCAGCTGGAGCTCCTGGCCAGACGGGTCACCCTGCTGGAAGCCATCATCTGGCCAGGTAACCGAGGAGAGGCTGCCCCCCCACCTAGGGGCCGGGGGGCACGGGGAGGGCCAAGGACAGGGCCACAGAGGCCCTGCCCACTGGGAGAGCCTGCTGCAGGGAGCCCCAGAGAGCAGGGAGGTGAGCAAGGAGGTATAGGGAGAGCCTGCTGGTGCCCAGTCGGGACAGGAGAGGGAAAGGAGGGCCCAGAGGAGCCCTAGAGTGGAGAATGGCAGAGCTGGGAGAGGAACAGGGCATGGCGGAGCTGGGAGGGGCCTCAGGTCAGGGGATGGCAGGGCTGGTAGGGGTCTCAGGACAGGGGATGGCAGAGTTGGGAGGGGTCTTAGGACAGGGAATGTCAGGGCTGGGAGGGGCTTTAGAACAGGGAGTGTTAAGGTTGGTAGGGGCTTTAGAACGGGATGGCAGAGCTGGGAGGGCCTTAGAACAGGGGATGTCATTGCTGGGAGGGACCTTAGGACAGGAAATGGCAGGGCTGGGAGGGGTCTTAGGACAGGGGAAGGCAGGGCTAGGAGAGTGCTTAGAACAAGTAAGGTCAGAGCTGGGAGGGGCCTTAAAACTGGGGGTATCAGGGCTGGAAGGGGCTTTAGAACAGGGAGTATTAAGGTTGGTAGGAGCCTTAGAACGGGATGGCAGAGCTGGGAGGACCTTAGAACAGGGGATGTCATTGCTGGGAGGGACCTTAGGACAGGGATTATCAGGGCCAGAAAGGGCTTTAGAACAGGGAGGTCAGGGCTGGGAAGGGCCTTAGAACAGGGGATGGAAGAGCTGGGAGGGCCTTAGAACAGGGAAGATCAGAGCTAGGAGGGCCTTAAAATAGGGAATGTCAGGGCTGGGAGGGGCCTTAGGACAGGGTGTGAGAGCTGGGAGGGCCTTGTAACCTCAGCATTCATTAAGGCCAAAAGAGGAAATAGAAACTGTGACCCCATTGTCCTTGAAAGGCAGATAATCAAGCTCCCTACACAGAAGATACGAAGAATTCTCCCTGAATATTTTAAATTCTTGCCTCATGGAGGGAAGCTGATTGCTCAGCCTGGGACCTCCAAGCTAGGCAGCAGCAAAGGAGATGTGGGCCCCTCCCTGGTGACTGAGCCCAGCTTCCTGCCCCCCTCGGATTCCTGAGACCTGAGGGGAAGCCTCACCAGAGAGAGGGTCATATGGGCAAATCCTTGTCTGTCCTTCCTGTCTTAGCCCCAGTCTTAAGAGACTCTCTTATTTTCAGCAGTATGACCTCCCTGGGTGTGATGCCTCTCAAGCAGGCTTTTCCTTTACATTGATCTCCAATTAGACAATAAACAGGGGTTGGTACATCCCCAGCAGTCAGGGGAGTGATCTGGGGACAGGAGGCCTTCCCTGGCCCTGAAATTCAATGATTTTTCAAAATGCCTTCCTCACTACAGCCCCCGGTGACGGCCAGTAGGTGAGGGTCTGGCAAATTCTTTTCTGGGCTACCCAAAGGGAAGGAGGCCTAAGGCTTCTGGGACTGGATGGGAAGGCCTAGTTTTCTGTGTTCTTGGCTGTCTCCTGGGGATTCTGAGGGGTCTCCTGCCGTCTGGCTCCAGAGCTATCTTTATTAGGCCGGTGAGTCACAGACTCCTGCTCCTTTGACATTCCCTGTTCTAAGGCCCCTCTCAGCTTTGACATTTGAGGCTGTAAGGCCCTTTGTAGACCTGACATTTTTGGTTCTAAGGGCCCTCCCACTCCTGACATTCCCTGTTCTAAGCTCCCTCCCAGCCAACCCCAGAGACCCCTGGCCTGCATCCCACTGGGCGGTACAGAAGGAACCGGCCACCTTCCCACCTCCTCATCCATCTCCAAGCACAGGCTGGGCTGAGAGGGGCCTCCTCCGTTTGCTACCAGCAGGCCTCTCCCCCACGAATCAGCCTGCGTACAGTTAGCACTGAGCACAATGAGCTGCTGGCTTCAGAAGGCCCCTCAGAGGGGATGCATGCAGTGCATGAGTCGGGACTTATCTGACGGGTGAGTCAAGTGAGTTCAGTCCCGAATGGACGCATTAACACGGGCCCGGCCCCCGAGCAGGCCCAGGCCTGCTCTGAGGGCCTAGCACAGACCTGGGCACGCAGAAGGTACTCCAAGTAGACAAGGACCCTCAGAGTTCACCTAGTCACAGAATCTCAGACCTAAGAAACTTCAAAGGCCACTGAGTCCTCCAACTTGTACCCAGATGGGAATCCCCTCCAATATCACGCTAGACAAGTGATGTCATCCAACTTTTGTTTGAAGACCTCTGGTGATGGAGAGCTCACTACCTTGCCAGGTATCCCATTTAGTTCATTAGGAAGTTTTTCCTGACCTCAAGCTGAATCTACCTCCTTACGCTGGTCCCGGGTCTACTCTTGGGCCAGACAGAAAAAATCCGCAAACACTTGAAGGCAGCTATCATGTCCCCCATGTCTCCTCTTCCTCGGCCCAATCACCCCCAGCTCCTCCAATGACTCCCTCCCAGTCATTTGGACAAGTGCCTGGGAGAGGCAACTGTCCAAACTCCTCCTGTCTTCGAGGAGGAATCTGATGTCCAGAAAGTAAGGTGCCCAGAAGCCGAGGAGGCTCTCTTGCAGCCTTGGTTTTCCCAGCCATAAAATGGGGATAACATTTGCTCTGCCTTCGCCCTTAAGAGGTAGAGGAAAAGAGAAATGGAAATAGAAACTAGTGATAGCAACAAAAGGGGCACCCGGGCCCTTGTAACTCAGTGAGCCCTGGGAGAATGGGTTTGGAATCCCCTCCCGATGAGTTTACCAACAGCAGATAACCATCAAAGGCTCCGATTGTTCATTCAGCAGGCACTGAGCGTTCTCCCTGCTGACCTCTGGCCTTGAATCTGCCAGAGGTCAGCTTGGCAGCCCCCCAGGGCTCTCTCCTCCAGTATTTCCTCTGGCTCTCCCACATAGCACCCAGAAGAGGAACCTGCTGGGAGACCCTCCCTGACGACGGCCCTGGGATCGGGCTGGAGTAACCCTGTTTCTCTTGTCTTCCTCTGGCAGAACCGGACCTTGGCTCCGGAGCAGGGCCCCCCAACGCTGGAGCCTCTGGCTTTCCTCGGGGCAAGCGGGCAGGAGGACCAGCCACTTACCGGATCATCTCCCATCTACTGGCCCAGGGAAGCGAGGACCAGAAGGACTGAGCCCGGTCTGCTTGGGCACCAAGTGGGGCTCAGGATAGAGCCCCCTTCCCACCTTGGACTCTTTCCAGGCTCTCATCCCACAGCCTGGTCCCCAGGGATGAGCTATCTATTTATTGGAGTGAGCGAGCGTCGTGCCCAGGAATGCAGACAGCCACCTGTCCACCCTAAGCGGTACCTGGGAGACTGCCCCCGAACCATCTCCTCTGGCCGCTGGAAGGTGGGAGGGTCCGGCTTCTGGGAGGTGGCTCAGAGCTGGCGGGCTGGCCTCTCCCCTCCCATATCCTCTGCCTAGCAGGACTACCAGGGCCACGAAGAGAGGCTCACCCTGGGCCCTGGGCAGAGGGACTGTGGGGGGGGGGGGAATCCAAACCCAGCCGTCACCAGCTTGTTCCCTCTGGGCCTCAGGTCCACATCTGGACTGGGGGGTCTCAAGAGCTAGAAAAGACCTTACTGGAACAGATTTATACCAAGTACCCTCATTTCATCTAGCCTTCCCCTCTCCCCCATCTTCACTTTACAGGGGAAGAAACTGAGGCCCAGAAGTCAGGGGAACACAGGGTCATAGCTTTGAAGTTAGAAGGGCCGTTATAGGCTGTCTAGTCTAACTCGCCTCCAGAAAAGGGAAGTGACTCATCCAGAGTCACCCAGGCAGCTATCCAGGCCCCAGGCTCCAAATCCAGCGTTCTTTCCCCCATTCTGGGCCACTTCTGGGGGGTGAGGGGGATGCAGGATTATTGTGGGTGTAGAAATGCCCAAGCAGCTCTGGGTGGCGCCCTCCCTTGAGCCCCAGGGGCCACCTCCGAGGTTGGCTGCCCCTGGCCCAGGAAGCCTCCCAGCGAGCCTGCCGGTCCCCACCCGCGCTATCTCACCTGCCAGCATCTCCCCCTTGTCTAAACTACAACTAGCAGTGACCTGCTTTCAGAACCGCGCGGCATATCAGAGCCAGAAAGGCCCTTGGAGTCTGCCTGCCCCCTCCCCAAGCCCCCCATTTATGCAAGCCGAGGCTGAGCGCTGTGCCCAAGGTCACCTGGCCTTCTGGGCCCGCTTCTCCTCCCCCCAGACGCGGTGCTGACCCTCACTTGGTACTTGTGGTGCTATATCACCCCCAAACTGTAAGGTCAAGTACCAGCTATCCTTTGACGGGGGGGAGGGGCAGGGCAAGGGGCATGTGTCTGACTTGGGGGTCCTCCTAACCTGTTCCCTCCTCCGAGATCAGGGAGCCCCAGGCTCCTATTCCTTCATGCATCACCCCGTGTAGTCCTCGGGGTACAGGGGTCAACAGAGGGGAGAGAGGGGTGGCCTTTGTGTTTTATATGGCAGGTAGATGCTCATGGCCATTATAAGCTGGGGGGCTGGCAATAAAGGTCCTTCCCCCTCTGTCTGGTTCTCCTGGGGTGGACAGGGTGAGCGAGAGGTTGCTGCTGGCAGGGGGGGCACATTAGCATAGCTTGGGGGTGGAGACATGGAGCAGACTGGGACCCCAGGCTCCTGGCTTCTATCCCCACTGCCAGCCCTGACCTTGAACCCCCTTTCTGGAAAGCACTTCCTGATGATGGGGTGTGATGGCCTGCCTCGGTGTGTGCCGGGGGAGCCCTGTTGGTCTGACTGGGGTGACCTCTGAGGTCCCAGGAGAGGCAAGGACCAGAGTAGGCCCTGGCGTCCCTCCCGCCCTCCCCCAGCAGTTACCCTGAGGCCCGTACGCCTGGCTGGGTTTTCTGCCGTTGGCTCAGGTTTCCTTCTGGCCTCGAACCCTGACTCCTAGGCCTTGTTCCGCCTCGTTCTCCTGGCCTCGGCCCCCAGGGGGTCTGTCTTGTTCCCACCACCCAGCCTGGCAGATTGTTCCTGGCTCCTCCTTAACTGACGGGATGCCAAGCACAGAAGGCCAGATCTGGAGTCGGGGGACCTGAGTTCAAATCCAGGCTCTGCTACTTTCTGCTTGTGGGATCATGGGTGAACGACACCAGCTCCCAGTCTCCTCACCTGTAAAATGAACTCAGATCCTCTGAGGTCCCTTACAGCTCTAAGTCTGCAGCCCATTTCCAGAGCCATAACTAAGGTGCGCACAATGAGACTTTGCCCCAGGGGGCTGAAATCTATGCCACGAGCGCTTGGGCACTCGGGGTCCCCGATGTCCACAGCTGGAAGGGTGGCCACCCACCGACGTCCAGAAACCAAGCATCCGCCTTTCTTTAAAGATGAAATGGATTTATTCAGCAGGGGGATGTTTGTGTCTCTCTCTGTGTGTGTGTGTGTGTGTGTGTGTGTGTGTGTGTGTGTGTGTGTGT